GATGTCACCTCGATTGGTTATGAAACTTTTGCAATCAAATTGCCCGGCTCAGCGAACAAGCCAACGACCACCATAGCTGAGTAAGATTATCCTCTCCAGAGATAAAAATCATCAGGTCAATTATTTCTTGTAGAACCCTAGACATAGGAGCTGCACAAACACAAGTTCATGAAAAGATGAACGAAACCTAAAATGACAATCCAGACGACCCGCAGCTACCAACAAGTGCTTTGGAACCAAACCTGTTATGCTATGAGCAGAAGTGTGGTTGGGGTTTTCGGAAGTTAACACTCTAGGCAGTTAAATTGGGATACAGCTGAGTCCCATCAAGGATCTTACATCAATATCACCGGTTCCGTGCAAACCCAGCGTGGTTCGCCAACTATGCACAGGCGTCCAGTGGTTCCACGCCTGTTAACAGGTAGACCCATCTCGAAATTCAGCCAACACCTTAAATCCGTAGACTTAACGGAGTAAAAGACAGCTTCGATAGAATAAGGTATGGCGGTAGCAGTTGTGCTAGAATCAAAGAGGCCTGTTTCATGACAGTATGAGTTGGAAACACATATTACGCTCTGCGCCAAAAGTCTATGTAACAATCTGCCAACCCCCTTCGTCGCCTATTTCATTTAGCTCCCCCTGAATGCCATCATCCGTAATACTGAATGGATTTCGCACGACGTTCATAACCAAAACTAGATATTTGAAATCACAGAATCAGACTGTACAGACAATGTCGAAGGATTTTCACCCATCGACACCTAGTATGGCGGGTCTCCACTATCAACTGGCCTGACGCAGAGGTGAAATGTATTTTAAACAGGATCGGACGATGGATTCAATAGATAGCGAGTTCCATGGGGTTTTTCGCATGTAAGGATCGATCGGGGGACGCAGAATATGGCTTTATTGGATGGATCTGTGACATTTAGCTGACAAGGAATTCATTGTGCGGTAACGAGCCCTCTCTCCCACAGCTTGATTCAATGAACATTTCGTCACGGCCTAAAAACGATTTACCGCCGGTATCTCATCATCAGAAATCACGACCTGTTTATCCGTTCTGTAGACTTATACTGATGAGCACCATAAAATTTCCAAGGTGATATTAGTCATGCCTTCTGTTAACTGATAATCCAACGTATGGATGAGCTTATCAACCACAAATTGTTTGCCCGTTTCACATTCCACTTTTGACGCCAACGATAGATGCTTAACAAAAATTTAAATGCCTCATTCCTCACGCAAAGCAGACCCTGGAAGCACTTCGTACTTGGACTAATAATACTAAATACAAACTTTCTGCTGACACAGATATAATTCGGTCTAATAGAACTCAGTGTTTTTAAGGAAGTGCACTCTACTTAAGGTAGAATTCCCAGATGCATTAATTTTTGTTCATTTCAAGAGGACAGACGTCACAAATTGTGGGTTCGAACGAGGCGACGCGAGTGAAATCAAAGACTCATAGGAACCAAGTGTGGACTTTGGGGCACGTGTGCATAGGTATGTACGTGCAGATCGCTATAAGCCGGTGCAACAGAATACCAGCATTCTACGGTTGAACCAAGCACTCAGGTAGTTGCTGAATTATGAGATCGAGGCTTACGACTTACGAACTCGAGAGGATAATAATCAGCTTCTGTTTCAGTAATACTCTGGTACTCTGGAAGGTAATATTTGCGGAGTAGCGGTCGTCATAAAAGGATGCGCCCTATCTTTTATGATAGCAACACCATGGGTATGTGGGCGTCAGAAAGATAACCCTGACATAGCTAGTCAGCTTCGGCTCTCAAAGCTCGAAAGAATCATTCAGTATGGTGGTTCTTCTCCAATGACTTCCTTTAGGTATGGAACTTTCATACCCCAGTATCAGTATAGCGCGACCAGATCTCGCAGACCTGATATGCTGGCGGATTGCTCGTGGAATTGCTTACTAGGTGTGCTGACATTCTAGCCCGTTCCATTATCTAAGCCAGACCGGAAGGCTATCAGTAAGCCATCATTCCATGAACAGAGATCATCAAAGTGATCTCGGCGTTCGTCATCATCAAAGGTCTTAACGTGTTCAGAAAGTCGCGATGTCAAACAACTTGTCATAGATTGAGCAACTCCCTGAACCTATAACTGCCTTGAAACTGGTGATGGAACAGTTTGTACATGCCACTAGAGTCCACGATTGACTACAGCTGATTTCGCCGGTGGATTCCGAGATTGTATGAATCTGTCGTAGTTGTAAATCACTGACACAGTAACAAGTGCACGGAACTAGCGTCTTCAGTTTTCACTGTGCAAAAAATTGACTTGACTCACTTAGAAATCGGACTGACAGCATAACGATGAAACTGTCGCAACAAATTTGCCGGTGGGACCCAATCCCTTGGCACCAATTCATCTGGAGTCCACTCTTCAATCAGCTGTCGTTTTTCTGCATTTGTCAATTGTATTACATCATTTATGCGATATCGTCGTTTGAACAGAAGCCAGATAATCCCCATAATCAAAAACAGTTCAAAGTACAGATGATACAGTGGCGCTCTCAAAGCACTGTATATAAGGCGAGCCCATAGATATTCTGAGTTAGGACCTGAACCGTATAGTATATCGCTGAAGAAATCTTACCTATGTGGGCCAGGAAAGAACTGATAATTTTCACAACCATCCCGAGTTCAAGAGAATAACAAAGAATGCTGGAAAAATAAGCAAAAGGATATTACACGCAATGTATCTAGAACACTCCGTGTGGTGTGCTGCACACATTTATTGTGCATGAAACATCTCCACGGTTACCTGTCATCTCAAGGTCTTCAAAACTGAGTCATAGTAATCAACATCGACAACGATACACCAGCGGTAAACAATGAAGCTAAGCACCAACTCAACCGTGGAAAAAAGAGTGCACTGGTAGGGAGCTGAAAAAAGGACTTGGTGGTGGTGGCCTTTTGAAAAGCGATCAACAACAAGGTACCAATGCCTTGGAACAGCGGCGAGGGGCAATAGTCGGACAAGGAAGATGTAACACATCTTGAGTGCCTAGCTACAATGTCACCCGAAGGAAACATGAGGGTCGAGATACTTCCATGTTGCACAAAACAATAGTAGTCGAGATGTCGTGACTGGGTTCGAACGACGGACCCTCCGGTCAGTAAGTTCGCGCCTTAGGCACTGAGCTATTCCGATGCGGAAGCAGGAAGAAACCGGTGAAAAGAACCCAGAAGAGCTTTGCAAAGCTTGCGAAAATTTGAGGGATGGCTCAATAGTGAAAGAACGAATCTACTGACCGGAAGATCCGTGGTTCGAACCCGACCTCTGCTTCTCATCTTCCCCTACCCAGGCTTGGGCAACCTGGCAGTATCCCAGTCCTCGTTCTCCCTTTGGGTGGCATGGCATTTAGGCACCGGAAGAGTGCTACAGCTGAACGATGATTAACCTCAACAAGAGCCCAGTGAATAACAACGGACAAACCGCTGGGCGGTCTGGCTAGAAAGCAACAGTATAAGCGTCACTGGGGTCGATTTCCAGCTATTATTCTAACGGCATGCAAAAAGGGTCCCGTAAACCCGTCGGGAAGGCAAAAAGATTCCACGGCATCTAGCTTTATTATAACCGCTTTTACTTCGCTCAGCCATGTTGCGGCCTGTTTTCACGAGCATGGGTTAGGAATAAAAACGTCTTATTCGGTAGGCGATGGTTAGACATGCGTAGTGCATGTCTCAAACACCCTAGCTTGATGGATTTTATTTGCTGCTCTAGTGATTCCGCTTTCTTATGAAGTACTCTTCTAAATGCCAACTCGGTGAGTACACGTTCCAGTCAGTTGACTATTATCATGCTGCGAGAGAATTGGTGATCAAGGGTTTGGAGTTATTCATATCGCCGGGACGAAGTTTTAATACCATAAATTAAGACTGCCTCCCACAGTCGCTTTGTATACACGCCTGGGTAAACTCAAAGGAACTCGATTTTGGTACTACAAATGACAAAAGTTGAAAAATGTTACCCAGGCCTTCTTAATGCATCACGGTACGACCGCAGTCTACGCAGCTGCCTAGGGGCGTAGATCGGTCAACAGCCTCAATATCCTCGCATCTTGAAGTCTCAGAATGGTATAAGAGGAGTGAAATCTTGAGAAGGGGTTCCGGCAGAATGCTTGCAGGAACATGACACCAGTCCAGACATTCTAGTTACAGTATATTGTACGGATTGATGATCTCTGGTTGTTGACAAGACTTCATCCGCCTAACATTCTTCGGATGCATTGTTGATTCCTAGATTCAGAGGAAATAGTGATTGTTGGTCGGTACAGTACCTAACCTAAAGCAGTCACCTTGTCGTGGTGGTCGAGCTTTTGCGCTGCAATGATCCTGCATGATATATTGGATGGAACTCAGTTCCTTAAGGTTCAACCATGCCAGGAAGGCCAAAGCGGAGCAGCCCGAAGAAACAGGATACATGATGCAAGTAGTGAAGGCAAAGTGACTGCCTTCTCGCTTTCCTACAGGTTCCGGTTCCGCCTCTCTGGTGACACAGATGCCGGTGCAGTTTGAAATGCCAGTGTGGGTACTGTACTTAGCGACCGAGTGGAAGCATCTTCAATTGACTGGATACCCGTTGTTACTTGGACTAATAATACTAAATACAAACTTTCTGCTGACACAGATATAATTCGGTCTAATAGAACTCAGTGTTTTTAAGGAAGTGCACTCTACTTAAGGTAGAATTCCCAGATGCATTAATTTTTGTTCATTTCAAGAGGACAGACGTCACAAATTGTGGGTTCGAACGAGGCGACGCGAGTGAAATCAAAGACTCATAGGAACCAAGTGTGGACTTTGGGGCACGTGTGCATAGGTATGTACGTGCAGATCGCTATAAGCCGGTGCAACAGAATACCAGCATTCTACGGTTGAACCAAGCACTCAGGTAGTTGCTGAATTATGAGATCGAGGCTTACGACTTACGAACTCGAGAGGATAATAATCAGCTTCTGTTTCAGTAATACTCTGGTACTCTGGAAGGTAATATTTGCGGAGTAGCGGTCGTCATAAAAGGATGCGCCCTATCTTTTATGATAGCAACACCATGGGTATGTGGGCGTCAGAAAGATAACCCTGACATAGCTAGTCAGCTTCGGCTCTCAAAGCTCGAAAGAATCATTCAGTATGGTGGTTCTTCTCCAATGACTTCCTTTAGGTATGGAACTTTCATACCCCAGTATCAGTATAGCGCGACCAGATCTCGCAGACCTGATATGCTGGCGGATTGCTCGTGGAATTGCTTACTAGGTGTGCTGACATTCTAGCCCGTTCCATTATCTAAGCCAGACCGGAAGGCTATCAGTAAGCCATCATTCCATGAACAGAGATCATCAAAGTGATCTCGGCGTTCGTCATCATCAAAGGTCTTAACGTGTTCAGAAAGTCGCGATGTCAAACAACTTGTCATAGATTGAGCAACTCCCTGAACCTATAACTGCCTTGAAACTGGTGATGGAACAGTTTGTACATGCCACTAGAGTCCACGATTGACTACAGCTGATTTCGCCGGTGGATTCCGAGATTGTATGAATCTGTCGTAGTTGTAAATCACTGACACAGTAACAAGTGCACGGAACTAGCGTCTTCAGTTTTCACTGTGCAAAAAATTGACTTGACTCACTTAGAAATCGGACTGACAGCATAACGATGAAACTGTCGCAACAAATTTGCCGGTGGGACCCAATCCCTTGGCACCAATTCATCTGGAGTCCACTCTTCAATCAGCTGTCGTTTTTCTGCATTTGTCAATTGTATTACATCATTTATGCGATATCGTCGTTTGAACAGAAGCCAGATAATCCCCATAATCAAAAACAGTTCAAAGTACAGATGATACAGTGGCGCTCTCAAAGCACTGTATATAAGGCGAGCCCATAGATATTCTGAGTTAGGACCTGAACCGTATAGTATATCGCTGAAGAAATCTTACCTATGTGGGCCAGGAAAGAACTGATAATTTTCACAACCATCCCGAGTTCAAGAGAATAACAAAGAATGCTGGAAAAATAAGCAAAAGGATATTACACGCAATGTATCTAGAACACTCCGTGTGGTGTGCTGCACACATTTATTGTGCATGAAACATCTCCACGGTTACCTGTCATCTCAAGGTCTTCAAAACTGAGTCATAGTAATCAACATCGACAACGATACACCAGCGGTAAACAATGAAGCTAAGCACCAACTCAACCGTGGAAAAAAGAGTGCACTGGTAGGGAGCTGAAAAAAGGACTTGGTGGTGGTGGCCTTTTGAAAAGCGATCAACAACAAGGTACCAATGCCTTGGAACAGCGGCGAGGGGCAATAGTCGGACAAGGAAGATGTAACACATCTTGAGTGCCTAGCTACAATGTCACCCGAAGGAAACATGAGGGTCGAGATACTTCCATGTTGCACAAAACAATAGTAGTCGAGATGTCGTGACTGGGTTCGAACGACGGACCCTCCGGTCAGTAAGTTCGCGCCTTAGGCACTGAGCTATTCCGATGCGGAAGCAGGAAGAAACCGGTGAAAAGAACCCAGAAGAGCTTTGCAAAGCTTGCGAAAATTTGAGGGATGGCTCAATAGTGAAAGAACGAATCTACTGACCGGAAGATCCGTGGTTCGAACCCGACCTCTGCTTCTCATCTTCCCCTACCCAGGCTTGGGCAACCTGGCAGTATCCCAGTCCTCGTTCTCCCTTTGGGTGGCATGGCATTTAGGCACCGGAAGAGTGCTACAGCTGAACGATGATTAACCTCAACAAGAGCCCAGTGAATAACAACGGACAAACCGCTGGGCGGTCTGGCTAGAAAGCAACAGTATAAGCGTCACTGGGGTCGATTTCCAGCTATTATTCTAACGGCATGCAAAAAGGGTCCCGTAAACCCGTCGGGAAGGCAAAAAGATTCCACGGCATCTAGCTTTATTATAACCGCTTTTACTTCGCTCAGCCATGTTGCGGCCTGTTTTCACGAGCATGGGTTAGGAATAAAAACGTCTTATTCGGTAGGCGATGGTTAGACATGCGTAGTGCATGTCTCAAACACCCTAGCTTGATGGATTTTATTTGCTGCTCTAGTGATTCCGCTTTCTTATGAAGTACTCTTCTAAATGCCAACTCGGTGAGTACACGTTCCAGTCAGTTGACTATTATCATGCTGCGAGAGAATTGGTGATCAAGGGTTTGGAGTTATTCATATCGCCGGGACGAAGTTTTAATACCATAAATTAAGACTGCCTCCCACAGTCGCTTTGTATACACGCCTGGGTAAACTCAAAGGAACTCGATTTTGGTACTACAAATGACAAAAGTTGAAAAATGTTACCCAGGCCTTCTTAATGCATCACGGTACGACCGCAGTCTACGCACTTGCCTAGGGGCGTAGATCGGTCAACAGCCTCAATATCCTCGCATCTTGAAGTCTCAGAATGGTATAAGAGGAGTGAAATCTGAGAAGGGGTTCCCGGCAGAATGCTTGCAGGAACATGACACCAGTCCAGACATTCTAGTTACAGTATATTGTACGGATTGATGATCTCTGGTTGTTGACAAGACTTCATCCGCCTAACATTCTTCGGATGCATTGTTGATTCCTAGATTCAGAGGAAATAGTGATTGTTGGTCGGTACAGTACCTAACCTAAAGCAGTCACCTTGTCGTGGTGGTCGAGCTTTTGCGCTGCAATGATCCTGCATGATATATTGGATGGAACTCAGTTCCTTAAGGTTCAACCATGCCAGGAAGGCCAAAGCGGAGCAGCCCGAAGAAACAGGATACATGATGCAAGTAGTGAAGGCAAAGTGACTGCCTTCTCGCTTTCCTACAGGTTCCGGTTCCGCCTCTCTGGTGACACAGATGCCGGTGCAGTTTGAAATGCCAGTGTGGGTACTGTACTTAGCGACCGAGTGGAAGCATCTTCAATTGACTGGATACCCGTTGTTAGTCGTCTCTGTGCGGTTCATCTGGCAACATCTGTGAAAAAATCTCGAGAATGTGAGGTCCATCGCACCCTGTTTATAGTGTTTGCTTATGCCCCAACTGACGGTAGCTTCGAATCTGCAAAAGATATTTCCTATGACGCTCTAGGTGTTCTGTTACAACGGACTAAAGGTTCAGACAGTTGCGGTTGGTGGTGACAATGACACCCAGTTAGGTGGACTAAGCGCTGCTGAGGCTCAATTGGGTGGTCGTCTTGGGTTGGACACCACACAAACGGACAATGGATATCATTTGCTTCAGACGTGTGCCGATCACAGACTGTTCATTTGCAGTACGGATTTCCGGAAGAGCGGAAATTTCTGAAGACGTGATGCCTATCAAGGAACCAGTTCCGAATTCACCATATCACTGTCATTTACCGGTGGTCAGGGTCGACCACTACCTGCCGCCCACTCTGGAATACCAGAGTGAATTTCAAGCATGCACTTATGCGCTGCTGTTTTTCATTGTGCTTTTCCAGACCTACACAAAACGGGAACACTTTGCTAAGTTGTTGAGAAGCTGATGGACCCAGGAATCAAACGAAACTTTCAGAACCGACACCTTGAACGCCCGCATGATCGTCCTATGCCGGAAGAGATATCCACAGTGCTACTCAAAACCAGAGCTTCCATATGCGGTAAGAACCGCGTACCTGTCGTACAGTGGTTCTTACTGTCACAGTTTAGTTCACCGATGATTTGGGGAAGTGGGGCAAGAAGTTGAGCACTGGAAACGCGAGCTCATACAATTGATGTGTAGATCGAAAATGAATAAATAAATGGCTCAGCTCCAACACCCCTCCGGTGCCTAGCTGGCATACCACCCAAAGGAGGCACGAGGGCAGGGATACTGTCAGGTTGTCCAAGCCTGGGCAGGGGAAGACGATAAGCAGAGGTCGAGTTCGAACCAAGGATTTTTCGGTCGGTAAATTCGCGCTCTAGCCACTTGAGCCATCTCGCCCCCAATGCGCAAATCCGGGGTTGTCGGTGGATGGTTTGGGCTGGGAGATTGTGAAGGTAGTAATGTATCGTAGGCAATAGCTTGAACGCATGAGGGCGCCACTGAGCCATGTCTGAAAATGTCTCTAACCACTGGTATGTTCCGTCTCGGTATCCCTAACAGACAGACAGCAGTCTCTCGCTATCAAGTCATTGTTTGACCTCCCCTGACTCGTTTCTAACATTCGAGCGGTAGTCCGTCACGAAGAGACTGGACCTTACCGTGGTGTGACGGTTTGCGCACCTCAGCGATCCATTGAGCTATACTGGAGAGTGTCCCGCGACACTCACAGAGTCTCTCATACCAGGTTGAAGAGCGGAAATTTCTGAAGACGTGATGCCTATCAAGGAACCAGTTCCGAATTCACCATATCACTGTCATTTACCGGTGGTCAGGGTCGACCACTACCTGCCGCCCACTCTGGAATACCAGAGTGAATTTCAAGCATGCACTTATGCGCTGCTGTTTTTCATTGTGCTTTTCCAGACCTACACAAAACGGGAACACTTTGCTAAGTTGTTGAGAAGCTGATGGACCCAGGAATCAAACGAAACTTTCAGAACCGACACCTTGAACGCCCGCATGATCGTCCTATGCCGGAAGAGATATCCACAGTGCTACTCAAAACCAGAGCTTCCATATGCGGTAAGAACCGCGTACCTGTCGTACAGTGGTTCTTACTGTCACAGTTTAGTTCACCGATGATTTGGGGAAGTGGGGCAAGAAGTTGAGCACTGGAAACGCGAGCTCATACAATTGATGTGTAGATCGAAAATGAATAAATAAATGGCTCAGCTCCAACACCCCTCCGGTGCCTAGCTGGCATACCACCCAAAGGAGGCACGAGGGCAGGGATACTGTCAGGTTGTCCAAGCCTGGGCAGGGGAAGACGATAAGCAGAGGTCGAGTTCGAACCAAGGATTTTTCGGTCGGTAAATTCGCGCTCTAGCCACTTGAGCCATCTCGCCCCCAATGCGCAAATCCGGGGTTGTCGGTGGATGGTTTGGGCTGGGAGATTGTGAAGGTAGTAATGTATCGTAGGCAATAGCTTGAACGCATGAGGGCGCCACTGAGCCATGTCTGAAAATGTCTCTAACCACTGGTATGTTCCGTCTCGGTATCCCTAACAGACAGACAGCAGTCTCTCGCTATCAAGTCATTGTTTGACCTCCCCTGACTCGTTTCTAACATTCGAGCGGTAGTCCGTCACGAAGAGACTGGACCTTACCGTGGTGTGACGGTTTGCGCACCTCAGCGATCCATTGAGCTATACTGGAGAGTGTCCCGCGACACTCACAGAGTCTCTCATACCAGGTTGGTCAATGGTTAGAGGTCTGACGAACACAGTCTCCTGGCCCTCCAAGTTGGGGGTTGGAACATGTGGCGACTTGTTCCGTAGAAATGGTAATGCATTTGCATTTCCCACCAAACACCGCTGCCTTGCGGTTAGGCTTTTGAGCCAAAGGCTTTGGTTGAAGACCCTAATCGTCC